CCAGGCTCTGAGCCATCAGCCCAGAGCCCGACGCGGGGCTCGAACTCACGGACCGTGAGATCGTGACCTGAGCTGAAGTCGGATGCTTAACCAACTGCGCCACCCAGGCGCCCCATCCCCAGCTTTTACCAGAGGAATGCATTCCCTCCGAGGTTTTCGCATGTTCTGTAGATCCCGTCCCGGGAGACTCTTTCTTAACCCAGTGCCCAGAAGCACTAACGCTCACGCGTGCACTTGGCTGCAAGCAGGGTCACGCAGCCAAGTAGGCGGCAAGCCCTCAACCGGTCCAGAGTTCCCAAGCCGTTGAAGCACTCACGGCAGGGTCGACGAGGGAAGGAGGGAGGGTTTTCTGGAGTTTCCGTGATCTTTTGCCTGAATCCGTGAAAATAAGTTTCATTTTATCGTATCACATTTTTTAAGTTGTTGTTGAAATATGCCATACGTTCAGAAAAGCACACAAATCAGAGGCATACAGCTCGTGGTGACCCACGTAACCACCCAAATAGGTGGCATCACGTTTGGAGTGAAGTTGCTTGTGTTTACACTTGGATCTTTGCTTCTTAGGGAGTGAAAGCCCAGTTGTTTGTGGGTTTGGCCGTTTTTTTTGTTTTTAATTTTTTTTAATGTTATTTATTTTTGAAAGAGAGAGAGAGAGACAGAGGGTGAGTGGGGGAGGAGCAGAGACAAGGAGACACAGAATCGGATGCAGGCTCCAGGCCCCAAGCTGTCAGCACAGACCCCGAGGCGGGGCTCGAACCCACGTAACCGTGAGATCATGACCTGAGCCGAAGTCAGATGCTCAACCCTCTGAGCCACCCAGGCGCCCCTGTTGGTTTATCTGTTTTTATGAGAAATAGAAGGATGATGGAAAAACCATGAGCGGGGTTCACCAGACCATTCTACGTCATGAGGAAACTGAGACCGGGTGTCCCCAGAGGGGAGGGTTGTTTCGTGGACGTCCAGGGAGCGAGAAAAACAAGAGAACACTTGCAGGCACAAGGAAGAGCTGGGAGATCTCTCAGAAAATCACTTATTTCTCCAGAGCAGGTGATACTGGCCTGTGACGAGCTCAAAGCTCACTCTGCTCGCAGGCCACCAGCTATTTTCCTGTGTCCCCACCGTCACCCCTGCTGCTCCTCAGCGCCTTCCCTTCTCTCCACCTCGTGACCTCTGCCACGCCGGCATCAACTGCTCGGCTTCTGGCTACGACTCCTTGCCGTGTATCTCAGCCTCTGCCCGGCCTCCAGGGCCGGATGGCTCGAGCCAAGGCAGCGGTAGGACCGGGCGGGCAGCCAGGCCCCGGGGGGCCGTAGGCCATGCACTGCCCACCTCCAGCCCAACAAAAGTGTGGAGACGACACAGCACAGCACGAACTACGGTTCAGAAAATACTTGTTTTAGGGACCCGTGTGCACGGCAGGGACTCTGGGGTTTCCTAGAAAGAGCCAGCGTACCTGAAAACACTTGGGTCGTCCGATCTAAGTATAAGTCAGAAAACCTGAATTCTGGCTCTGGCTATGAAAATGTGGTTCGTAATTCGGGCAAAACGTGTAAACTGCCTTTGTCTTACTGTTTCCACCGTATGCTGGAAGTTAGGCAAGACGGTGATTAGCGTCCCTCCGAGCCCCAGAGAAGACAGCGGGGGCAGAGCGGGGCGTGCTGCCGAGCTGGGCCCGTTTGCCGGGCCCCCCGGGAGAAAGCGCCACCGACGGCTTCACCGTCGCTCCCGGCGGCGCGAGGGGAGGCACCGCCGGGGCCATGGAAGGGGGCAGGAGTCGGAGCACGATAGCGGCTGGAGGCAGCAGCTGGTGAGTATGTAAACTGGCAACGTGCTGATCTTAGGAACACATGAGTCCGGGTGGAGTTGTCTTATCTTTGAACCGACAGATCTGAAGGCTCTCTTCCTCCTGGACAACCTCTGTCTCAGGTCACAGAAATCAGGAATGACCAAAGGCAGACATTCCCCCAACGTAAATTGTGGGGTCAAGAGATTAGTTAAGAAATTTAAGTGTTGTGAGACCCAGGCTCCGAAGCTGGAACGTAACCTACCTAGGAAAGGCCCCAGCCCTAAGGCGCCGTCCATCCCATTACCACGTTTTATTTTCTTCTCAAACTTAGCAATGCCTCAAACTTCTTTATCTCCTGTTTCTTGCCTGCCTCCCTCAAAACCACATTGTAAGCTTCATGAGAACAGAGCCTCGTCACTCTGGGTCTCCGCCACATCCCTGTGCCTACTTGGCACCTGGCACGGTGCGGGTCCTCAGTCGGCATTCATAAAACGATGAACAAAAAGCCTTTGAGGCAAGATGAGGAAGAGAACACTGATCTTTGCATCCACTCCTGCACGTGGGCAGAAGTTCATGAGCCCTAGATTCGCAGACAACTGTCTGTGAGCTGGGAAGCTTCACTGTGAGCCAGGCAGATACTCTGACAAAACTATGTACTTTTTTGAGGGACTGTGCCCCAAAGAAATGACAAAGAGAGTTTGCGGGAAGGTGTTCTGATAAGATATACCCATTTGGAACCTATCACCAGCCCTGGGTCAACGAAACACACACACACACACACACACACACACACACACACACACAGCATTCTCAAGCAGATACAAGACTCTGAATATACCTCCATCCATTGAAGGATTAGTTACAAGCAAAAAGAAGCAGAATATGGGAGTTTTGCATTGATGCATTTGAAACTATAAAAGGGGAAGAAGGGACACGTAATTCATAATACTTTTAAAAAGAATTGCCATAGGAAACAAAAAAACCCCACAAATTCTTCTAACTATTCTCAATACAATTAAAGACAATACGGACTCCAGAAAAAAAAAAAACTGCAAAAAGGAACAAACAGGTTAAAGGAGAGATGATAAGAAAACAGAAGATATTTTATAAATTAGCAGAGCTCGGAAGAAAAGCCAAAAAACCCCCACAAAGCTCTCTTAGAAATGAAATCCAAGTTCGAAGCCTTAAGAACAGGTTGTATCCTTCTGAAAACCGTTAATCAAAGGGAGAATTGGTTTGAGAAAACCTGACAGAATGCAAAGTAGAAAAAGAAAAACGAAAGCAACAAAGTGTTCGAAATATGGAGACCAGTGAAGACCCCGTGTGGAATGTCCCTAAGATAGGAAACCAAACTGAAGACAAAAAACAAAAGTCCAAGATGTAATAAAAAATTTTCCCAAAGTGAAGAAAATTGAATATGTAGCTCGAAAGGCCTGGGTGGTTCAGTCGGTTGAGCGTCTGACTTCGGCTCAGGTCACGATCTCACGGTTCATGAGTTCAAGCCCTGCGTTGGGCTCTGTGCTGACAGCTCGGAGCCTGGAGCCTGTTTCGGCTTCTGTGTCTCCCTCTCTGCCCCTCCCCACTGTGTGTGTGTGTGTGTGTGTGTGTGTGTGTGTGTGTGTGTGTGTCTTAAAAATAAATAAACATTTAAAATTTAAAAAAAAACATACTCTGATAAGGTTACTGAATTTCGAGGTTATATATGCACATGTGTGTGCATGTGTTTGTTGTGTGCACATGCATTGTGTGTGGGTGTGCGTGCACATGTGATCACGGCAAAAATAAATGAAATTGGTCATCTCAGAAAGAAAGATTAGTAGATTGGTCTTAGACTTTGCACAGAAACCAGTGCTGGGAGAGAGGAGTCATGTCCAGATTTGCTCGTTCTTTCTTTCTTTCTTTCTTTCTTTCTTTCTTTCTTTCTTTCTTTCTTTTTTAATTTACATCCAAATTAGCATGTAGTGCAACAATGATTTCAGGAGTAGATTCCTTAGTGCTCCTTACCCATTTAGCCCATCCCTCCTCCCATATCCCCTCCAGTAACCCTCAGTTTGTTCTCCATATTTATGAGTCTCTTCTGTTTTGTCCCCCTCCCTGTTTTTATATTATTTTTGTTTCCCTTCCCTTATGTTCCTCTGTTTTGTCTCTTAAAGTCCTCATATGAATGAAGTCATACGATTTTTGCCTTTCTCTGACTAATTTCACTTAGCATAATACCCCCCAGTTCCATCCACGTCGTTGCAAATGGCAAGATTTCATTCTTTTTGATTGCCGAGTAATACTCCACATCTCCTTTATCCATTCACCCATCCATGAACATTTGGGCTCTTTCCATCCTTTGACTATTGTCAGTAGGGCTGCTATAAACATGGGGGTGCATGCGTCCCTTTGAAACAGCACACCTGTATCCGTAGATAAATGCCTAGTAGTGCAATTGCTGGGTCATAGGGTAGTTCTATTTTTAGTTTTATGAGGAACCTCCATACTGTTTTCCAGAGTGGCTGCACCAGCTTGCATTCCCACCAGCAGTGCAAAAGAGATCCTCTTTCTCCGCAGATTTGCACTTTCAAAGGAGGAAAAAGAATGGAGAATTTTATACCAAATCCAAAAGACATGCTCAAACATGCAGGGACCCAGGGAACTTAGTATCCATTAAACCTTCTCGAACAAGTTATATGATGACAAAATCCAGCCAGCCAAAATATGAATCGATACAAAGGGCTCAAAAGGAGTTAGCTATAAGAAGTGCAAGCTGGATCTCTTTGGACCAGCGACCAGCAGAGCCCTGCCTTGGCTGCAGGCTAGAGTCTGGGAGCTCTGAAAACAGGCTCATTACTAATCATCTCTCTGGACCCATTACATTCAGAATCTCTCAGATGTGGTCTCAGAATCTCTATTTTTTTTTTTTACACGTCCTTAGTTAAGAATATTGTTGGGGCGCCTGGGTGGCGCAGTCGGTTAAGCGTCCGACTTCAGCCAGGTCACGATCTCGCGGTCCGTGAGTTCGAGCCCCGCGTCGGGCTCTGGGCTGATGGCTCAGAGCCTGGAGCCTGTTTCCGATTCTGTGTCTTCCTCTCTCTCTGCCCCTCCCCCGTTCATGCTCTGTCTCTCTCTGTCCCAAAAATAAATAAACGTTGAAAAAAAAAATTAAAAAAAAAAAAAAAA